ATGTAAATTTAAGCTTAACTCCGTAAACACAGGTATTTCAACTGTTTCCTTGATCTGAAACTTGGAAGCCCGGCAACAGATGCATACTAATGTTATCGTATTTGTTGTTGTTGTTGTTGTTGTTGTTGTTGTTGTTGTTGTTGTTGTTTTCATCAGAAACACGAACTTGATGGTTGGATGTTTAGAGTGTGGGTGATCGGCGGGTGTTCTGGTGTGGTTTGCTCCTTCTTTCCTATCAAACAACTAGTAAAATAATATGGTCTTCATCTTCCCTCCTTTTTTATGTCTGTTTACTCTCTTGTGACACCTCTAATCTTTGGCACTTAGATGACCTTATTGTGTTGCAAGTGCCGTAAAATGCTTACTAAAAACAAAACAAAAAGGATATTAAGAGCAACATTTCCTAGTCTGGTCTGCCGCTGGTCGGATGTGATGTGTTATAGAAAGGGGTTAATGCTCTGTGTTCCTCCTATCTTCTCCAAGCAAACTGTGGTCGGGTCATTCTCTCTCTCTCTCTCTCTTTCTCTCTCTCTCTCTCTCTCTCTCTCTCTCTCTCTCTCTCTCTCTCTCCCTCTCTCTCTCTCTCTTTCTCTCTCTCTCTCTCTCCCTCTCTCTCTCTCTCTCTCTCTTTCTCTCTCTCTCTCTCTCTCTCTCTCTCTCTCTCTCTCTCTCTCTCTCTCCCTCTCTCTCTCTCTCTTTCTCTCTCTCTCTCTCGACTCTTCTTCATCTACACTGGGCACACAAATCTTTCTCCAGAGACGAATCATTGAAAAAATACGACCCTCCCCCCCCCTCTCTCTCTCTGTCTGTCTGTCTGTCTGTCTGTCTGTCTGTCTGTCTGTCTGTCTGTCTGTCTGTCTGTCTGTCTGTCTCTCTCTCTCTCTCTCTCTCTCTCTCTCTCTCTCTCTCTCTCTCTCTCTCTCTCTCTCTTCCCCCCCCCCCCCCTCTCTTTCCAACCGAATAAGTGTTTTAGCAAACAGAAAACTGCGAGCGGACGTTTCTGACAACAGGGTCTCTGTATAAAACATGAACCCTCAACATTATTTACAACATAAAGCACAGCATAGAAATCATTCCGTATCTGCCTGCTCTTGTTAGCCTTGGCGCGCTCAGCGACTCTATAATACCCACTCTGTGACACATCTAGCCTCAGGGGACGCCAAATCTTGCTCTATTCTCAAAATTCTAAGAGCTGAATACGACTATTTAAAACAAGCTTTCTGTTTTCTTCTTTTTCTTTCTTCTTACCTCTTCAGCTAATAATTCATCACACAGCGGGATACTATTCCTATCCAGTACTCAGCGGGATGTGTCTTTGAGGAAAACAACATTTATCATGATTAGGTAAAGGATTAAATAACGACACATATTAAATAGCTTGCTGCTGTTGCTACACGTTAAAACAAGAAAGTCGGAGTAAAACAAGCATCGTTTAGGAAATCAATTACGTCATCTTTTTGTTCTTAATTTGACTTTTTGTTCAGTAAACAAGTTTTCAAACAAAAGAAGGGCTTCAAAAAGCAAAATTCATTTCATCTAATCGGATGTAGCTTCGATGTTTTTGTTAAAATATAGTACAAAGTTGCAGCGTAACGAACCGTTGTTCTCACTGTTAACACCCCC